AAAATACTGTAGCTGCAATGGTCCAGGAAACAGGCAAGAAACAAGCTGGCAAGAGACCCAAGGGCTGAGGGCTCTGTGATACACAAGAGCTTGTCTAACTGTGCAGTTCGTCCAATAAAAGACATCGATCACATAAATCCTTTCCCCTCAGAGGAATGCATTCTTTTTCCCTTGTTGTATACAGTTTCTCTGGCTTGTATTATCAGTCCCTAATGCTACTGCAGTTATCAAGTTCGCCAAGTGTACCTGCCTAGCAGGGTGATCTTACTACATCGATTGGATTGCAACAGACCACATCAGTTTTATACATTGACAAGGACACCGTATAGTGTGTGGTGTTAGCCATGGGAAAACAGGAACACACTCCCAAAGCAAGCTCAAACCCTGGCTGTGATGCCAGTCTTCTTTAAGGAAGCAATCATCAGCCTTGTCAGATTTAAAGTACCCCTCTAGATAGTCAAGGGCCTGTCTGCTGAATCCACAACAGTGCTGGAGGCCTCGACAGACTCGACGCCCCCCTAGGAAAATGGGAGGTCTCAGTTTTTACTTCTACAAAAACATACTAGAGCAATTTCTTCTGTTGCAAAGAACTCAGAAACAGCCCGGCAGGGCAGAATGCTTCGGACGCCATGGCTGCGTCCAGACGAGTGCAGACGCGAGATACGTGGCACCACAGACCTGTCTGCGGCATGGCACATGCAGTCGTTCCCCAGGCTGCTACCTTGCAACATGGGGAGGGGGTTTTGAGGGGGTCAAAAAAACCCACGCTGAAACACAGGGGGAAAGTTCACGTGGTGGCAGTACGCATCGCCCAAAATTGGAGCCTGGCTGGCTGGAGCCACATGCTTGCTGTAGCTGCAGCCCCAGGAGGGCCACGGCCAGCACGATTGTTGACCCCAGCCACCCCTGCCCTCCTGAGGTAACCTGCCACATGCCAGAGCACACATGACACAGGCATTTCCCGGGGACAAGCCACATCAGCACCAAGTGGACACAAGGCACAAGACGTCTCCGAGGAAAGAAACATCTGTGCCTACTTGAAATCAGCACATTTATCGTGCGAGCGGTAACTCCCTGTGGCATCCTGGAAGGGTCTCAAGGCACCCGCAGAGCCACGGCTCGGATCCTTCCGCGGGTCTGTTTAAATCCTCGTCAACACTGAGGTAAGGCCTGAACCCTGCAATCCCAGCCCCAGCGACCCCCAGAGGGTCCCACAAAGGAGCATCTTGCTCTAGAACTCCATCTCTTTCTCTCCATATATATCTGTACCTAGAGACTAAATATAGATAGATATATCTAGATCTAAATATGGATATAATATATAGATCTATCTATATTAATGTCTAAGAGATATCTAGAAATAAATAAATAAAAATATATAGCTATAAATATAAATAAAATATATAGATATAAATAAATATAGATATAAATATATAAGTGTGTGTGTGTGTGTGTGTGTGTGTGTGTGTGTGTGTGTGTGTGTGTGTGTGTGTGTGTGTGTGTGTGTGTGTGTGTGTGTGTGTGTGTGTGTGTGTCTGTCTGTCTGTCTGTGTGAGGGGCTCCCCAGGCGCGAGGGCCCCGCGCGGACTCCAGCTCCCGTGATGCCCCGCGCCACCCCCGAGGCAGCCGGCGGGGCCGCGCGCGCAGGGCAGGCTAGGAGCTGTAGTTCGCTCTCGCTGAGGGGCGCAGGCGGCAGGTTCGTCCGTCGCCCCCTCACGCGCCCCGACCCGCTCGCCTGTCCCTCACCTCCACGATGCGCGCGCACTGCGTGCCCTTGCCAGCGCCGGGCCCGCCGAGCACAAAGACCACCAGCGGCTGCATGAGGAGGCGGAGCGCGCTGCGAGCCGCAGAGGTCGGGAGGCAGCGACTGAACATGCACTGCGAGCGGCAGGGGGGGGGGGAGGAGGGGGAAGGGCAGGGCTGCGCGCCGGCCGCGGCGTCACCAGGAAGCGGAAGCGCTTCCGGGAGGGCAGTCACGTGCCCCGTCCCGGCAAAGTGTCACGTGCCAGCCCTGCCCAACACCAGGATTTGCAACCGGATCGGGCGGGGCTGAGCGCGAGCGGTGTGCCCCAGCCCTGGGGGTGCGGCAGAGGTAGGGCGCCGCTCCTATTGCACCCGGGAAGCAGGGGGACAAGCTTTCTCCTGTCTGCGGTCAGGTCTCTGCTTCCTCCCAGGAGAGGTCCCTTGCAGAAATCCTTGCAAAGAAATGAGTGCAAAGAACCCCCACCCAGTAGCGGACTTGGGACGTGTCCTTGCAGACTTTCGGGGACATAAATGGCAGGCTAGTTTCTTTGGGTAGATGTGATCTCTTTTATTATACCAACTGATACCGTATCTACCCAAAGAACCTGGCCGGCCACTTGTGCCTAACCACGCTTGAGTGAACTACGTGGCTGCTGGGATGTACAATCTGAGGTAGTTTACAATGTGCGTGTGTTTCGTGCACCAAGCATTTCCTTTTTGCTGTGGGGTGGAAAGGTTGGGCACTACTGCTTCAGCCTGTTTCCTGCAATCAGTGTAAAGTAAAACACACTTGCAAGGGTTGGTATATACCAGTGATTCTCAGCCAAGGTGCCCTGAGATCCTTTTAAGGATGCTGCAGGGTGGCTGTGCAATATTAGCGCTTTTAAGTGTGCAAACACCTACGCGATTCACAAGATAAACACACAGATTTCATATAGAGATCCCTAGTGTCAAAAAAATGTTGATTCATTTTGGTAGTTCTGAGGTGTACATAACAAGAATTGCTCTATTATTTTTCCATAGTCAGAAGACAAGTGAAAGCTAAGAGCTGACATTTTCCCAGGGGAGATTTGAGAATGCACATTATTTCCACCTGTTTAATTAATGGGTTTCTAAATAATTTTAGTTCATAGATTTCATAGACATTCAGGCTGGAAGGGACCTTGTAAGATCATTGGGTCCAGCCCCCTGCCCAAGGGGTAGGAAGTCAGCTGGGGTCAAAGGATCCCAGCAAGATAAGCATCCAAATGTTTTTTGAAAGTGTCCAGAGGAGGTGCTTGCACCACCTCCGGCAGCAGTCTGTTCCAGGCCATGGGGGCTTGGACAGTAAAGAAGTTGTTCCTTATGTCCAGCCTGAAATGGTCTTGCAGGGGTATGTGACCATTGGACCTTGTCATCCCTTGGGGTGCTCTGGTGAATAGGCATTCCCCCAGATCCTGATGCACACCCCTTATGTACAAGGGTTAAATCACTGCAGGCACCTGTCGTGGTGATTCTTAATTGGTTTAAGAGTGAATAATATTAGTGTAGCTGCAAATAATAGGAGCGTGTGTCTCATGTATATCAACTGGATCCAAGAGGATTCGTGGGATTGAGGCCCATAGTACCATTTGGGCTAAATAGAAAAGATAGCAATTATATACTGATAGGTAAGATTTGGTTAGAGCTGTTGAGTTTTTGATGGTATTTAAAAACTTATTGCCAACAAAAATTTTTTCCCATTTTTTATGTCCCTTGCAATGCTTGTTACAGGATCACTGAATAACTGCAAGTACTGAAGAAAAAGAAACTAAATAGGATTTGACTGCAAAGAAAAGTGAAGACTGACTAGTTTCTGTAATAACAATTGGTCATCCTGAGAGGAAAAAAAGTAGAAACAAATAGCATACATTAAATCCTTTTCTTTGCTTTTATATATTGGAACAATTTATTTTAGAACAGGTAACGGTCACAACTCTTTTTAGTTCACTTTTTTTTTTCTTGGGGAGAAAAAAGGATATTTATTTCAAGTGTAGATAGATTAATGTAACAAAATTGTAAGGGCTGGAAATATAGCTCCAACTTGTTAGGTTTGGGTATTATGGGGAGTTACTGGTGATCACCTTTTGCTTGCAAGTGTATTTCTGTCCATCCTAGTAAAATCCTGCCAATGGGATATTTTGTACTTTCCCCTTGTCAGGCAGAAATTTGCGGAGTGGATTCTCAGTCTTGCAAAATCATTCTAGGTATTTTTGGTATCCCATGTCCTTCGAATCACACTTACAATAAAATTGCCACTTGCATCAAATCAGGCAGTAGCGTTGTCCCACTTCCTCCTTAGCCCCCAAATTGTTGGGTAACAGCACATGCATACTTGTACTGACCTCAGGAGAGCATTACATGGAACAAAATGCAGCAAGGCGGCCTCATTGCAGATTATCTAGTCCCTCCACCACAAATCAGTGATGTCATAGTCTTTATTCTCCTGCCCACCTGCTCCTGTGTCTTCTGCTCATGCTAAAGGCACGTGCATTCAAAGAAAGAGCCGGCTTCACTTGGGAAGGCCAAAGAAGCAGAAGGATAAAAAAAGAGGAATAGCGCGGTCATGGTTTGAGATGTTCTAGGGTAGGAGATTACAGATCTAGAAAAAACAAACCAAAAAACAAAAATTTGCTAGTGGAAAATTCAAAATTTTCCATTAGAAAATATAGAACAAAAAAGGGGGCTTAAATGAATGACGTTTTAGAGCACTGTTACCCCATGTAGGGGGTGCATCTACACATTTCTCCTCAAGTGTGGTTTCAATGGGACCCTCCCCAGCAAAAAAAAGTGCTGGGAGTGGTGAAGTCATTAACAGGTGCGTGTCTCTTTAAATCCGCCGCCATTGCTGCCTCCTGTTGCTATGGGGATGCCAACAGCCGCCTCCTTACTGCGCCTGCGCGCTCTGCTGACCGTTTAAAGCGGCAGTGTTTTTAAACACCCACCCACTTTTTCCCCTCCGCGCGCGTTTGGCGGTTGGTTGCCCGGGGCGGCCGCTGATTGGCTGAGCGCGTGGGACTTCCGCGGCGCGCGGATTGGGCCGGCACCGCTAGGAGTGGGTGGGACGCCAGGAGGGGAGCTTTCTGATTGGTGGAGAGAGCAGAGTGAGCTCCTGATTGGTGGAGAGAGCGGGGCGGGCGGCAGGGCGGGACGCTCCGGGTTAGGGGTCTGCGAAGGCTGCGGTCTTCCCCTCGGGGCACGGTGAGGGCCCGGGTTCCCCTTCCCAGCCCCCGGGACTCTCATGTGGGGGCAGGTCCCTAAATTGGGGGGGGGGGGCAGTTTGGGTACCGGAGGGGGGCATATTTGGGGCCCATATGCATGGGGGGGGCCAGGCCCTGTGTCTGGATTGGCTCAGGGCTCCTCTTTAATTTAATGTAAATTAAATAATTTAATTTACATAAAAATTAACGTATTAAATTTCCATCCTGGACACACCGCCCACTCCCCTCCGACGTGGCTTTCTCATAGTCAATGCGACAGCCGAGACATTGCAATTGATTTCTGTCGTTGGATTCATATTTCCGTCCTTTTTTTAAAATACCGAGTCCTTTCCATCTCGCTTCCCCTCCTAGAAAGAAGCACTGCGCTGTGGTCCTGGCAGCCTGCGGTCATGGAGGTGGCTCGAGTGGGCTCGGGAAACCCTGCAGATCCAAGGTAGCCGCGTTTCTGCCCCGCCGTTGTCGGGAAACGAGTTGTTTTCCCTCACCACCACCCCTTGCCGAGAGCGCGGACACGGATATGGACGCGGTCCAGGTCTCAGGATGGGTGGGTTGGTTGTGAGTTGCTCTGCCGACAGATGAGTCGTGCGGGAGTCGCTTCTGGAGGTCCTCGTCGAAGTCCTCTCCTGCTAAATAGTGTCTGGATAGGCTTGAAATGCTGCTTTTGTCTCGAAGATCATCCTCGTTACAGGATAATTTATTTTAGGGGTTTGAATTAAGGGGCAACGATTGGGTAACGTGAGCAGATGAAGGGTTTGAATTAGGGGGCAAAGATTTGGTGATGCAAGTGGACAAAGGGGTTTGAATTAAGGGGCAAAGGCTTGGTAATGCGAGTGGACGAAGGATTAATTCTAAGTGTTTATTCCAAGCAGGGTTTTTTGTTGGTTTTTTTTTTATTCTGATTTTAAGTGATTCCCCCCCCCCATGTTAAACATCTATTAAAGAAGCAGGGTCTGTTCTCATACAGTACTTGTGACTTGGAGAGAAGTCTCCTTTCCCTCTTCCACCTCCTGTAACTGTCTCCAGTCTGTGCTGTCTGATCCTCTGTGATTTATCACACCTTCACCTTTTCATTTAACCCAATGCCAAGTTGCAGAATTGGGCTCCCATTTTGGAATAGCCGAGATGCGGACTGAGCATTGGGAAATGCAGAGAGGCATGTATGGTGGAAATGGTCACAGCGGGATCTAGGTGTCAGTCAAAGTGAGGGTAAAGGTCCCATAAGGATTGAGACTAACTTCTTAAATGTATAGTATGGCTTATGGGTAGATGTGATATCTTTTATTGGTGGTCTAATAAAAGATCTCACATCTACCCAAAGAACCTTGCCTGCCTCTATCCATAGACCAACACGGCTACAACCGAAAACCCAGTACTATGGCTTCTGAGTGCTGTGGAAGTAGTCAGATGAGCAATATGGAGGCAATCGTGGCTTGACAAACAGATGGAGACAGCTTTTTGTGCCTGGTAAGAGGCATAGAGGGTTGAGGGGGTGTGAAAGAATGGAGACAGGAATGAGAGAAAGCAATGACGCTGTAAATAAGGGGGAACCGACCTGTGGCGCTAGTGCCACCGCTGAGGCGGCCTCCATGTGGCACTCAGAGGGGGCAGGCCACACGAGAGAGGGCAAGAAGCATACGGCAGAGCAGGAGATCAGGTAGGGAGTAGAAAAGAGCACTAGATTGGGCAGGGCATGAGGATCAGGTGGCATACAGGGAGGGCTGATTTGTGGAACTCTTAGATAATTTTCAAATTTAGAGGGCTGCTACAAAGAAAAAACAGGATCTTTTCTAGTTGCTCGTTTGACAGTGGCCACCCTTGGGAGTAGCTGTCCTTCCTCTGGTGACTGTTGGACTTCTGCCTCTCAGATGTGTGAAACCGGTACCTTTCATAGGCATGGCTGATTTTTCCATTCCTATCATTTCATTTCTTACTCAGTTGATTATTATTTTCATTTGGGAAAAACAAAACTTTCCTGTGCCTGTAAGTTAACAAAATATAGACAATAATTAAAAGTCAGTTTTTGTTTCCCGTTTCCCTTGATATATAGTGCTGGGTCAGGCAATGTCTTAATAGTGTGTCTTGAACAATATTGATGCTGGCTCTGTCCCATCCAGGAGAGCACATAACTGCAGACTCTCCCAGTGCCTGAACCAAGGGTGTTTGTATCCAAAAACTTGCAAAGAACAATTTTTCAAACTATGTAGTTGGGCTAATAAAAGATACCACATTTACCCAAAGAACCTTGCCTGCCTATTGAACAGTGTTGACACACTTAAACTTACCAAATAATGTGTTATTGATGGTGTGTTCAGACTGTTTCTTAGTTCCTTAGTTGCCAGAAAAGCCTGATTCAAGTTACTGTCCAGATTCTGGGCCATAGTCAGATTTCTGCAAAGATGTATCAATGGGCTTAACTTTAAGCAGGTGAATAGTTCTGTTCAACTAAGTTGGATTACTTGTAAGTTTAACGTTAAGTGTAATTGTTGTGTTTTTGTTTTTTGGTTGTTGTTTTTTTTTTTTGTAATGGGACATAGATGGCTTTTTTAATAACAGGCATATTGTCTTATTTAACTCACTAATACTCTTGTACAACTGAAAGAATCTAACTTGCTCTGCACTTGACTTTTTTTTTTTATATTTCACTTAAACTAGGACGGTAGACTAATCAATTATGCTTTTAGCTGTCTAGATGTTGAGGCAGCTTCTAAGAGTTGGGCGTTCTGCGGTAGTTGCTTCTGATTCTGAGTAGTTGAGTGGTAGTACTTAGTGGTAAACAGTATAGAGAAAACAGTACTTAAACCAAAGCTTCAGTTTAAAACAACAATTTTGTGGGAAGATGTGCATACAGCTTTTTGGCTTTGAAAAACTGTACATTTGTGCTTCTTCCTTTTAAGATCCTAAACTAGGAATCTTATTTATCTGGCTGTATTTTTTTTTCTGAGAGCCTTTACTGCCATAGCCAGCTCCAAAAGGATAAAGGAGACAAATGGGACAGGGCCTCAGGATGGAGAAATCTCTTACGAGAGAACTAGGAGTTCAGATAGAAGCTGTAGAGAAAATAACTTGACCCATTTTATGTTTGGGAGATTCACATATATATTTTTTTATTAAGGGGAAATACACAAACAAACAAAACAATTTTCCTTGAAATGTTTGTGATAGAATGCTGACCTTATGGTTCTGATCACTAAGTATACCTAGTATTTTGCTTATACATAAAAATAAAATATGCTAAATTAACAAGCATTGGCTTGTATATAGCTTGGTGAGCTCTTAAAGTAAAATTGATAGATACTGGGCATGTCTGCACATTCGTTAATGTGCCTTAGTTACTGTGCATTTAGTTTAGTACTTGCTTAATGAAGTACTAACTAAATGCGCAGTAAGTAGAGTTACTTCACAGTGGCACCGGCACATGGTTATTTAGTGATGCTTACTGCACATTTAGCCTAATACTGCGCAGTAGGCTATTAGCATGGTTTTTCACCTCCATGCTACTGCGCAGTGTTATTACTCGTGTTCAATAAGCATCCCGTGTAGACATGCCCACAGTGTACAGAAATTTGAATGATTACAGGTTAATGTCACAAATCCAGTTTATGGCTATGGTTGCAATGACAGGCTGTGGTTGTAGCAATATGATATTCCTGTGTTTTGTATGCTATTTGACTTAATTGTTTCTTTACGTAGTATTCAAAGTATACTCCTTTTTAATGGAGCAAATCCTGACTTTAATACTTCTGAAGAAATTGGAAGCTGACCTTGCAAGTTTCTCTTTATTTAAAAAATAAATAAATAGTCCCAGTTAAGTGAGAAGACTTCTAACTGCTCATTTTCCAATCCTCATACTTCTATCCACTCCCCCTTGCCCTTGGGTTTTACTTAATACTTAGATAAAGCTAAAAAAATAGCATTGTCTTGGTACTCATACTAAAAGCGTACAAAGGAGCTGTAGCAATAAACCTTCTAAAATGGGCAAAATGTATGTCTTGCTGTCCTTATCTGTTTCAAAGGAAAAAAAACTTCTGCTGAAGTTGTCTTGACTTTCTCAAAAATCCCAAACCTCTGTTTTTTTCCTTAGTTTGTCTTCTGGTCCCCCAGACAAAACAGAGTAAATCTACACAGATTATGTTTAATATGTTTCTGACTACTTTTTCTTTTGCAGGATTGTTTCCAGCAGAATGGTACCACTTGCCTTTCCTCTATCCAAGTGTGCACTTTGGGATCCAACACCCATAGGAGATGTTATTGGCTCGCACCTCAGTTTTTACAGGTATGAGTAAAACCCACCTTTGTTTGAGAGAGAGATTTTTAAACGAGAAGGTTATTGCAAGTGTGTACAGAGCGCACCTCTGTCACATTCCTCCCGGAGATTAATGTATTACTCTCACCCTGGTAATAGACTCTTCTGGAACTAGCTCACCAAAACTTGCCTTGTGTAAAATTTTATTGAGAAGTTGTGTGAAGATTAACCTTCTAGGCGACCTTGTATTCTTTTATGCCTCCACATACACAAAAGAACCTGACTTTCCTATATTCCAAACCTGCAGAAGTTATTGTCTGCTGTGACTCTGCTGCATTTGAGGGTGGGACTATGCAGAAGGTCTGTTTACACCAACCATTACCTCACAAGTATCTTGCCATGACTACAGTATAAATATCTAGCCCCTTCCCTCTGAAGTATTGTCAGGTCTCTTGTCCGTATAGAAAACCACAGTTAACGGGGTTGAGATGCTCCCATCAATTATAACCTGCCCATTCAGGGAAGAGGTAGAAAGAAACTGTAAGGTACAAGTGTGCCTTTTGTTTTTTCTGGCTTAGCAGTCTTCTGTCTTGACATGCCTGCTGATAAGAACCATACTGAAAAAGTGTCACGTGAATTGTTTGGCAACCTCAGTTAAACAGATTAGCATTGGATAACTCTTCTCACAGGATCTAAACATTTTCTAAATGGCAATTTTAACATAGCTATTCATTAATATTTAGCTCTGAGATTCTTACCTAACCTTGAGCAGGCACACTTTGGGCTTGCTTTAAATTCACACAGGCAACATCTTCGATCTACAATCCTTCCACTTCTAGATTCTTTGTTTTGACTCTGGAAGTAGTCTACTAAATATGCATCTGAAGTTTAAAATGTCTTGGGTTCCACACTTATTTTTTTATGATCATGGTATCTGCATCTTTTCCTGTTCAGGGGAGTAACACTTTGGGATCCTAGAAGGATGATGCATCTTAGGTCAGAGTCCTGTTTCCTGCTATTGTAGGAAACCCCAGTGTTATACAAGGAGCTACAAATGACAAACTGATTAAGTTCCATCTTTCTTTTCTCCACTGTCCATCTTCTGGAACCCTAATTTTGTCATAAATCTCCTTTCTAATTTTCAGCTAGACTTACTCATGCCCAATTTTACCCTTTGGGGTTTTTTTTGCCAGGATTGTCTTTTAAATTAAATAATTCCTCACTTGTCTTGGTGTTACTCTTTTGTGTTCATAGAGAACAAACCTATGCCTACTCGGCCCCTCTTAACTCTTGGCTAAACAAGGCTCTCTTCTAGCTATTTCCTGTAGAAGAGGCTTTCTGTTCCCCTTATCGTAGTAGCTTTGCCCCCCTTCACTAAACACGTTCCAATTGCCCAGAATTCATCTATTTTGACCACTGGTGACCAGAGTTCTTGTACAATGGCACTGAAGCTTTCCTGTCTATTGTTTATGGCTTTGCGTTGTTGCTGCACTTGTTTGGTTTTCTCTGCAGTCTAATATTTGTTTCTTGAATAGCTCATTTAGGATAGAAGATCTTTTAAATTTCTAGATGGATCTAAAATGTCGTTTGCATGACCTACATAAATCATTCTCTTCTTCAGAAACCCTAGATTATTAATGATGGAGAAGACACTGCGTCTTGCCTACCGCCATGCTAAACAAAGTGAAAAAAAGTTATTTTCCTGTTTTTTGCTTGGAACTCTTGCAGTGGATGAAGGTAACTATTTAACAACAGAAATATCTCATTAAATAGAGCTGCAGTTCCCAATCTGTGGTACCCGTACCACCAGTTGTACGCAGACAACCTGTCAGTGGTACACATTAACAGATTTATTATAGTTACTTTATATGACAAAAATTTGCTGGTGGTACTTAAGGTTGTGTCATTTTAAATCAGTGATGTGCAATCTGTCACTTTGGGAACCGCTGAAGTAAAAGTGTAGCTGGCTAACTTCTTGTTGCTTTAGGTGACTGAGCAAGCCTCTGTAAATTAACTTTTATTGGATTTTTTTTTTCCGTATGAAATAGGCAGTGCAGTATTTCTCAACTTTTTGTCGTAATTTCTCTTCATTTTCAGATGGTGAAGGTGTGTCATTGACAATAGACCGATTTGATCCTGGTCGAGAAGTAACTGGTGGCTTAGAGAAAGTCCCAACTGCACCTCTTCCTGGAGACTTCTTGATTCCTTGTACAGTTAATGCTTGGGGATCTTCTTCAGGAGATATTGTAGTGCACAGTTCTGAGGACCTGAGCTTGGCTTTTAAGGTGAATGAGCCCTGGCATCTTTTCATCTTTTAAATAGTAAATTGACATGGAGATATGACTATAAAGTACATAGTATTTTTGCTTCCTAACCGTGAGTTTGAATCCAACAGTGACTGAAAAATTACTGTTTGTCTTGTGTGAAATAAGCATTTTAGTCTGCATAATCTTCCCAATAAGCTCCTTCTATTGGCAGAGTGTCAGGGACCAGTTCAGCATGAAGTCCACTGTTGTCTACTTCTGTCATTTTCTGAATGTTGGGCTAATATGAAGAAAGCTTGCTGTGCTCCAAAAGCTCTCTTGTGAATTACTGTTTCAGTTTATAGGGCACTTTTCCCTAAAATCTTATCATTAATTATTACCGCTAACACCTGAATATCAACTTTCCTTAAAGTCATCTGCAAAGCAAATAACCCTTGCAGCCTCTTTTAATTACTGTTTTGTAACATATAAAGGTCACAAATTATTTATGCGCAATTTATTATATATTTGGCATATCTTTACTTCCCTGTGGCTATTTTTGGGATGGAAATGTTTGGGGTAGTTCTTAGACCTCCTGTCTGCCTATATATAGATTTGTATTTATTAGTTATTGTGTCAGAAGGAAACTGGACACTTTCCTGTACTCCCAGTGTAACCTACAATAGTTATCAACTAATGTTTAAGGGATATCTAGCTTTTTCCATTCTGGAAACATTTTATATTACTTTTCATTCTGTTTAATATAGCTATTAGTTTTTGAGGTTGAAGTTGATTCTTTTTCTTTTTTTATGGTGCCTGATCAATGACTTAAGCTCCTACACACGACTAATATTTTATATACATTGCATCATATATTTATCTCGCCCTTTTAAACACTTTTTTTCCTCTCTCTCACAGAGTCTGGGGCAGAATCTGTGCAGTAGAGATTCTTTGGATCTTTCCAAACTGCTTACTGTTAGAACTCATATTGCTTCTGTTGAGAACATGGACGACCTACATTTTGACTTTCACTGGGCAGCCATTACTATGGCTAATACCTTGGAATATACTCCTGTGAAATCTGTCCCAATCATCCCTACAGCCCTGGCAAGAAACTTGAGCAGCCACATGAATATTGCACAAGTTCAGGGGACCTACAAGTGTGGGTAAGTGAAGGTTAATGTTAACTTAGCTTGAACTGCTTGTTAGTTGCATATTCCACCATGATAGCACAATGAGGGAAGATCCTCTCCCCCAGAGGAGCGTTGGTAAAATATACAGTGCTTTTTTTTTTTCTCCTTCCTAGTAAGACGGCCCAACTATTTCACAGTAGCTTAACACAGTAAACATAAGACACTGTTCCTCAAAGAGCTGAGAGCAGGAGAATTGATCCTGCATAATATGTCTTTTTACTCGGAGTTTTTGCTTTGGGCTTCAGTTAACAAAGCTTGTAGGTCTATGTAGGAATAGAGAAAATAACAGAATTAATAGTAGTCAGCGTATTGTCTTCTAGAAAATTATACACATAAAATTAGTGGAAGCTCCCACAGTAAAAATCCTAAGAATTTGCGTTGAAATATCCTTCTTATAAACATTGCCTACAAACGCTTTTGAAAGATGCCATTAAAAAAGCTTAATTCTGACTAATGCACTTCATTAGTGGAAGTAGTGATGAACATTGTGTTATGGCAGAGTTTCAAATAGTTAAGTATCCCAGAACAAAATGCAATTTTTTAATATGGGATGCTGATCAAGTACAATCAACCATATGTCTAATCTGGTGGCTTTGGACCTGAGTCTGTGTACCCCCCAGGGGTCCGTGGACCAATGTCTAAGGGGTCCATGAAAGATGACTCTGATAAATCAAAAGTGTGTGAATACCCACACTTACAAGTCAAAGGGGTCCACACCTCCATTCAAAATTTTAGGTGTCTGATCAGGTACACCTACAGTTTCTCTCCTCTTAAATTTGTATAATGAGTTCTTGTTCCTTTTTTTGATTGGGAAATAACTTGCTGTTTGTAAGAGCTTGAAAAAATACCTCTCCATTCCTGTATGTTAACAAAGTACTTTACTTTAATATATCTTTATTCTGTACTACCTTGTATTTTCAGCTGTGTTTTGGGAGATAACCAGTCAGCCAAATGGGGTCAGCTGTAATTAGTTCAGTATTCTGTGCATATATACCACATTGCTCTTAAGATGCTGTTTTCCTTGTTTATTGAAGCCACAAACTTATTTAGCTGATGTTTGCTTCAGTAATAGCTTGGAGCAGGGGTTGGCAACCTGTAATCCATAGGCTGAATCAAATTTGCGGAACCATTTGATCTGGCCTGTCGGCCTGGGGCTTTGCCCGCAGGGGCTTCCTCTGTGCTCAGCAGCCAAAGGGTGGGGAAGCTTTTCTGTCCCATACCACAGTTCAAGAGTATCTGTTTTGCCCAAGAAGTGAGTCTGGAGAAAGCATTGCCACCCAAAACTTTCCTACATTATCTTCTGAAAGTGTAATTTTAACATGGAATTTACTTGCAAGCATTGTACTTGACTTCCTGAGTCTTTGGAAAAAAGAAACAGTTGGCCTATTTTATTTCAGATACCTTACAATGGACCAAACCCGAAAACTGCTTCTGGTGTTGGAATCTGATCCCAAAGCTTGTTCTTTGCCATTAGTTGGAGTGTAGGTATTTGTTTTATTTTACATAACTTCTTTGCCTGGTATTGGTAACACTTAATGGAATATTTTGATAAGCATGTCGTGAAGAACACACAGTTTTTAATGGCAAAATCTTTCTTCCCTTCCTTTTAGTTGGCTGAGCGGCATTACCCATGTCTACAGTCCACAGGTCTGGGCCTGTTGCCTGCGATATTTGTTTAGTTCTTCAATTCAAGAAAGGCAAGTACTTCTACAAAAAAGTAAAGGATAGCTTGACCTACAACATATGAATGATAGCATAGAAAACTTACACTTGTTTTCTCACTTTGACACCAATAAATGCTTGTCCACCTTCGGTAATTCAGTACAGAGATAACAGTATGAGTCCTGTGGTTCTGAGTGCCATACAGGAGGTGAGACAAGACTCTAATGGTCTCCTCTGGCCGTAAAATCTTTCAATTTTTAATTTAAAGTATTAATGTTTGTATTAATGTTAATTTAAAGTATTAATTTGTATTTAAAGTATTAATGTTTCTGAAGACTAATGTTAAGCAATCGGGTAAGCGCCCCAGTAGTGATCAGAAGAGGATAGGGACAAAATATTAATCTTTCAGGCTGGATTGACTTTTAAATACTGATTTAAAGTAGCAAGCAAGAAACCCCAGTTTAAACAACTGGACTTTAATCTTTTTTTTTATTTGTGTTTCTTTTCCATGGGAAGTTTGTTCTTATTAGCTAGTGTAGCCATTCAAGAATGTTGATTTTAAAATTAAATACAGCTTTTATATTAAATTTGGTGTCACTTCTTGCCAACAACTGGATATGCTATATTTGTATACATGTAAGCAATTTACCTAGCTTTACATTTAGCCATTTTAAGTTTTAGTGTGCGTTTGTTAGGAAATAGCGAATGACATTCTAATTTGTGCTAACCTATATTTGGATGGAAACTGGAACTCAATTAAATGCCCCCAAAACAGCATTCTGAAGTTAGGCAATAACTAAACTAATCTTGAATGTGCCAGATACTTAAGAAAAAAGGCTATTCAAGCATGTTTTGCCTTTTTAAATTGTTTTCTTGAATGTAGGTATTAACTGTAGTGATATTGACTATTTCTCATCACCATGGGCCAGACTGTAGATATTTACAGACCTTTGAATGATGCAGATTGGTGCCTAATAAGATTTTGAACGTTCCTTGGTAAACAGAACGCCAGGTTCTCACTAACTTCAGCCACTATTGATTCTACTCTTGGAAACAGATTAAGGTTATTTGGCATAAGAGCACTCCCATGGGGAGTCAGGTGAAGTAGCTAGTCCTATCTACTTTGATCAGAATTACTTTCCTGTGCAGGCAAGCCCCTAAAACTTAGGTTGGAAGTGATACATTTTGCTGTGTTAGTCACTACAGTTTTGACTGTCCCTTTTGCTTGTCTTCCCATTTCTTTCACATTTTAAGGATGTAACCAGTCTGTTTCAGAGATGCTTTAGCTAGTATTTTAAAAACAACTACCACAAATGATAGTTTCTGAACCTTGCCCTATTCCTTTTTCTTGATCTTTTTTTGTTCAATTTAGGATTTTAAGTTGGCCTCTCATCTACTCTTCTCCAGATGCAGAAAACATTTTAGCATAATAATTTTTAAACGATGATCCTCTCAAAACATTCAGTATCTTGATGCTGAAGGAACACTATTGAAAATGTAGAAGCAACTGAAATACTGTACATTTTAAAACAGAAATATTCTGTTATGGGACTGCTTTAGTGATTTGTTAAGAATGTATAATATTAGACTTCAAAATGAAGTAGGTTCACAGGTTCATCGTGTCTGGAACATGAATGAGGTGCTCTAGGAATCTTTTAAGATGCCAAATATTCAAGGGTCTGTTATGTTTTGGGGGGTTTTTGTTTGTTTTATCTTGGTTGGTTTTTTTTTTTTTTTAAGCCCAATATTTTCTTGTGACACACTCTTCTTTCCATCCACAACAACAATGGAAGGGCCACCTGGCTTGTATGTAGTTCCATGCAGAAGGCCAATTTGTCTCAAAGTATGAGTGGTGTCCTCTGTTTTTATGTGTGTGGGGGCAGTTTTTTTGTTTGTTTTGAGGGGGAGGGTGGTTTGGTAAGCTGGGAGGTCTTTAACAACGGGCAAGTTAGGTGACAAAATGGATTTTTCTTGACTCTGAAACTTGGTTTTAATTTTTTTCCTTTTCTCTTATCTAGAGTGTTTTCAGAGTCTGGGAGTTTCCTTATCACACTCTATTCTCTGACGCATAAGGAACCAGAGTTCTACGAGTGTCTTCCTTGCAGTGGACAAACTGAACTAGGGTTCCAACTGCTAACCAGCAAAGAAACTATACACCTCTTTAGAGTAAGTGGCTTGATTGCTTAAGGCAGACATGGTTTTTTGAGTGAATCTGATATCTTTTATATTAGACCAGCTTAAATAGTTGGAAAAAAAATTTTCTTAGCAAGCTGTTGGATTTAAAAAACCCTTCATCCGGCTGAGGAAGCCTCTGCTTAATGCATCTTCAAAACTTCAGTTGCAGTTTTTACTTACTGACCTATTACTGAACTGTAGCATAATTGACTCATAGAAATTATTAATGTCTTGCACAGAAACAAATGTCTAGAAAATGATGTAGCTCTGCAAATTAGAGTAATCACTGCAATAAATCTAACTTACTAATTTAAGAGGCATAAACCCAGCGAAGTCTTCTAAATCAAGCTGTTACTTTCTCAGGGTATAACAAATATTTTTTACCACATAGCATGACAAGTCTAGCTTCTTGATGTACATTGCGCAGTCACATTTTTGGCATAAGTATTGCTCAGATTTCTAAATTCGTTGTTTGGTTTGACTGTTCCATGTTAGGTGAACTAGGCAGGTAGAAGAATAATTTTGAGTCATGCATGCTTCTGTGAAGAGGTGCAAATAAAAAAGTGTTAATTATACTACAAACCAAACCCAAAGGAGAAAGGACAGGAACAGTGACTGGTCCATGGATCTCTTGCTGTGTTTTAAATTTATAGTTTTTATGTAATTATCTTATATTTGGATCTGTTGAAGCCAGTCTTTCCAGCCCACGGGCCAAACAAATCATTTCAGGAAGACCAAGGAGTTCTAGTGAAAGCCCTAATTTTTTCCTTTGGCAAACTATTTTGCTCTGCTTAAGACCCCCATGCTCCTGTAAATTATCTACAGGGAAGGCTTCCAGGAAGGGAACTGCTGAGCAGCTTCACCAACAAAGCCAGCAGCTGGTCTTTGTTTATAGATTGCATTAGATTTGTTGGTTTGAGAGAAGCAATGTGACATCAATAGTTAGGGAAGCGATGCTCCTTGTAGCAATGAATGGATTCCAGCACTTCAGTTGGAAATCAGAGGAAAGAAGCATCTCTTCAGTTGGCACTCTAATACAAACTTTCTTAAAAAACATTGCTCTTTGGTGCTGCAGTGTAGCTTTCTAGACCTGCAGGTTAGGCACCACAGACTTTTTTTTCTTCAATTTCACAAATGCATTCATTTCATTTCAGAACGTTGAACCTTCAGACAAGCATCCTATCCTGTTTGAACTGAATGCGGAAAAACAGAATGCAGAAACTGAGTTCTTCAGTAAAGTTTCCAAGACTCTTTCTGTTAGAAGGTGAATCTGTCAAAGTCTTACCCTCCCACCCCAACACTTGTTGCTGGATTAGGTTCTTCAGCTGGTTTGTGTGGCATTTCAGGTGTAGAATGATAGTGATGGTCCCATTCTAGTATTTCTAAGCTAGGAATAAGAGTCCATGCACCTTCCTTGTTCAAGTGATGAAAGTCCACAAGCTGAACTTCTGGGGATTTCTGCACTAGATATGATGATCATTAAAGGTTTTCGTCCACCTAAATGAATCTTTCTGAATATCTGTTTCTGACTCTAGTGCTGCATATGACACTGTCCATGAGTCCGTTCCTTTAAAAGGGAAAGAAAACGTCCTTGCCTTCCAGTATATCAGCTGTGATATGAGCATAGTGGGAAGCTTAGGCTTCATAAATCCACCGTGTAGGCTTGTATGTTGAAATAAGATGGCATTTGTTTTAAAGATATGATAGATATGTTACTTCTATTCTTCTCTCACTTCAAGATGTTAAAAAGAAACCTTGTAAATCAGCTTAGAATGTCTTCTAAAAGGCCTTAGTTTATTTATTTTTTAATTATACACTTTTGGAACGGGTGGACACCATTAATCAGTCCATTTATCTTTATGCTTTTGTGGTCCTTTAACATTTTGTTTGCCACTTGACACTACCAGAGTAGTAAGGACAGGCTGACCAGTTGGTTCTTCCAGAACTGTTACTCGTGTCCCACAAGTCTCTTCATTGTTAATATGTGAGAAATAGCCATCATCATAAGCATTCATTCACTCTTGCTTTCACATTGATCACTGTTGCAAACAATTTCACAACAGCTTTTTATTTTTTTCAGTCCTCTGCAAGGCTTCTCCCCTAACAAACTGTCAGTAAGTGATCATGACTCTGGTGTGGAAGATGAAGACTTATCTCCAAGACCAATTCCAAGCCCCCACCCAGTGAGTCAGCAGGTAACTAATAACTCTTCTGTAAAGCCTGTCAGGGATCCTGAGAGATTTGAGAGACATTGATTCACCACTAATTGGGAGGCAGGGGAGTCGTAGAGACTCATTTGTCCGACATGGACCTGGTAGTTTTGTTTCCTAATCCAGTCAGCCCATCTGTTCCTGGGAAAATAGACTTTTCTGTTAGAAAATTCTAAAATCCCAAATGAAACTACAGGTTGTTGTGAAACTTTGCACTATATTGTAACATGAAGAATAGAGCCACTCAGATCTCCACTCAGATGCTGTGGAGTAGCAGTGGCTTTTTGTTTAAGTGAAGGGAAGGGTAACAAACTGACTGAACTGGACCTTTTGAGTTGAAAGAAATGCAGGTCCCACTGGTCCTTCCCTAATTACAGGACTGCCCATTTTATCCCTAGGCCTATGGACATTTAATTGTAATTAGCTGCTTCTTTAAACCATATTCTATTCTAGTCTAAACGGTTTGAATAGCTGTAACTTATTTATCTAAAGACCTATTCAGCAGTTATCCATAAATATCAAGTCATTGCAGACATAAAGACTGAAGCCCAGCCTAGGGACAAGTAGCTCATTGGATTGGGGATAGTGTAAAGGAGAAGAGCATGCTTCACAGCAAGGAGACAGGAATATGCTACTTCTTGCCCCAGAATAGTGCCTTGAGTTGGGAGACTTGGATGTCATGCCCTGTAAGGTAGGGTGAAATCAATTTCTCCTCTTAACAAAGCAGTACACATTCTTTTCCCATCTTTTGAATTCTACAGTGTTGAATTGTGTGCGTGTGTGCTCACTACCAGCAACTCCAGGTGTTAGGTTTTATCAACTTTGGACCCAGCAGCTTTGGGTTCTGTTGCACGTTTCTTCAAAGAAGGACAAAGAAATCTACATTTTCAATGAAATAAGATTAAATGAAAAATCTTAAGCGCACTTCAATTAATTCTTGTAACTCCTTTCTAGGTTACTAGTATTCATCCTTCAGTTCCTGAACTATCCCTCGTCTTTGATGGTAGCTTCATAGAATCAGCACCAATGTCTAAACCTGTGGAAAATCTGAATGCCAAAAATCTACCACCACTAGTGCGTCCATCTGTGAAAAAGAACTGTTCAGCAGGACCTTTGTCCAACCAAAAACATTGCTCTGGTAATGATAGGCCAAACTTCGGCACCCCTTCTGGCAATCTGTCTTTGAAGCTATTACCCAACCAGCTAAACCCGAAAATTCCAACTTTGAAATCTTGCAGAGGAAAGCAGATTTCTCTACAACAGCCAAACTGTTGGAAAGGTGGACCTCAAACAAGAAAAAAATGTGGATCTTCTTCCTCTTCTTCAACACCAGGCAGTGGGCCTTCTCCTGATACATCTGTACATCAGCCAAGGGTGCCATCTGAGAGACTTGCATCAAATCTTGATGGAGCCACGCAAAGAAAAGAGGAACATTCAGTAAGGAGACCTTCGACATCCAGTTCTAAGCAGCCACTTGCTGCCTTACAGCCTTTCCAATACAACTTTGGTTTTTCACCCCAGAACTCAAGAAAACCGACAGATCTACAACTGCCAGTTCCTCAGGTGTCATCTTGTTATCCAGCCAACATATGCAGCTGTTGTCACCTTCATGGACACATCCAGTACTGTCCAACAAATGCTTGGCAAGGGATCAGTAAAATAGGGCCCAATCATGCACTAGAAATCCAGTCTGATGTCCCTCAAGAGAGTACCCAAGCAATTCTCCGTCAAAATTTCGCTTGTCCAAACATTTGCTGCAGTCCAGTATGTACCATAAATAGCCCAATATCCCTAGGGTATGGGAAAATGGGGGCTTGTTCTTCTCATGATAACAGCTTATCGCCTGGAGTGAGACTTCCTTCCTGTTCAAGCCCTTGCAGTCCACCGTGTTCTGCTTCA